GAAATTTGGGGGGAAAATAGGTAAAACATTTGTGAGACACAGATATGGTTTATTATTTATTGATGACGTATAGTATTCTCAACTGGGCTGGACTGAGGTGTGTATCATGCTGGGTAAAGACTCTTAACAATTTAAATGATGTATAGTGATTAAATGTATAAATAGTAATATATTTTTAAAAAGACAAAAGAAGGGGCCAACAGATGATGTAGCCAACTGTGGTTGGAGTCCCAGACCTGGTGGCTTGAAAATCATGCCAGGCGCATGTGTGCACGTGCCCAAGAGAAGGGATTGTGGCATGGCCATCCCCTCAGGGAGTTATTTCTCACTTTCCCTCTCACTGTCTCTGTCCTCCCCCTTGCCCCCCGTGAGTGCATGGACTCTAGGACAAAAACCTAAAAAAAAAAAAAAAAAGACAAAAGTAAACATGGGGGACCAGCAGTTAGCATAATGGCTATGTTGCTGGACTCCCACGTAGTCTACCGTGTTTCACGTCCCGGACCTGGTGGCTTAAAACTCATGTTGGGCGTGTGTGCGTGCATGTCCAAGATCCTGAGAGGAGAATGGAGGAGAAGGGATTGCGGCATGGCCATCCCCCAGGGGGTGATTTCTCACTTTCTGTCTCTGTCTCTGTCTGTCTGAGGAGCCCACGTGCCCTATAGCAAAAACCTCTAAAATCTAATTAATAATAAAAAAGTAAACATGGTAAAATGTTAACATTTGGGAAATCTGAAGAGTATAAAAGAATATTTTTATTTTTGCAACTTATTCTAAGTCTTAAGTTATTTCAAAATAATAAAATTTATGGGGCTGGCAGGTGGCATGGTGGTTAAGGGCACTGGACTCCCACATGGTCAAACCATGGTTTGAGTCCCAGACCTGGCAGCTTGCTTCCTCTCTCACTCTCTCTCACTCACTCTGTCCCTCTCTGATCATAAATAAATAAATAAAGCCTAATAAAATAATTCTCTAAAAAAATGTAAGTCTTAATCTTGCAAAGTTCTTACAATGGTCATCTTTGTAACCCATCCCCTGCCCCCAGTTCTATTAAACAGACCCTCCTGTATGCCTTTCCCCTTCCCCAGACATACTTCAGTCGCATGAACAGTAGTATTGATTGGGATGTTCATCTTCATGACTGGATTTTCCATGAAGCACTAAACTCCTTGAGGGCAAATTGGTCTTTATGTACCCAGGTCCAGGACCATGCCTAGTACTCATATGCATTTACTAATGTTGTCACTTAAATCACCATGTGGCTCAATAAAGGAATGAATAAAATAAACCTACCCCTGATGTTATAGTTCTTAACTCCCTGGCCAGGTGTACCTGAACCCTTATCTCTTTTCCTATAGCACCACCCTTTTTGGGGTGGGAGGGGGCTGAGCTCATCTGCCCCACTCCAAGAACCTGCTCTGGCAAAGCACAAACCTCACAACAAGCTAGAGCAATGTCTCAGTAGCACTGAGTTCCCTCAGACCTTGAGTTCCTAACTCAAGGTCTGCATTTCCTGTTTCTTCAATATGGACAGTTCTCCCTGAAGATATTTATAGGGCTCTCTCTAGACTTTTTATTTCTTTATTTTTATTTTTGCTATAAAGTGAGTTTGCTCACCAGAGAAACAGAGACAGAAAGACAAAAAGTGGGAAGTTACCCTCCAGGGGGGATGGCCATACCACAACCCCGTCTCTATTCTTCTCGGGATCTAGGGCATGTGTGCACACGCGCTGGCATGAGTTTTAAGCCACTGAGTCCAGGACTCCAGCCATGGTGAACTGCGCAAGAGTCCGGCAATGTGCCATTTCGCCATCTACTGGTCCCTAGACCCTTCTAGCATCAATTAGAGAGATCTTTTTTATTACCACCCTTCATCTCTCCCCTCACTTTCTGTCCTCTTACACACTGTAGTTTTTCCAAGGCCCTAACATCTGGCTAACATACATGTATTTTTTTATATATTGATTCCTGATGTGATTGTGTGTCTCCCTGGAGTGGAGTCCTCAGTCCCTAGAACGGTTCCTGCTGCACAGGTAGTGCTTCTATATCTGTTCAACACATTTGATTTAACAGGAGACTTTTCAGGTGCCTCGGGGATGACCATGAGTCTGTGAGCATTCGGAAGTTCCAGACAACTGTTCACATGCACACGGGGACCCTTGCAGTGTCCAGGTATGACTCAGCCAAGGACTTTGACACAGCTATCAATCCACAACGGGATTTTCTTCTAATGAGTTGAAAACTCTCTAAAGTTCCTATGCATCAGAATCCTCAATCCCAGAAGGCAGCCTCTGCAAACCTTGAACACAGTTTCAGCAATCCCATGACATTGGTTTTGCATATGTAAGTAGAGGAAAATGTAAATAAGTCAACCTGTCCTTTATCCCATTAATTTGAATGTATTTAATCTTCCAAATAACTAGTAATAGTAACAATTACTATTACAGCCGCACAGCACAGTGGTTAAGTGCAGCACACAGGAAGCCAGATCCCATGGCTGACTGCGGGTCAAGTCCCAGCCCCAGTGGGCAGAACACTGGGCATATGTACACATACTCCAAATCCTGATGGGATGGAGAAACAAAGGAATAAGGATTGTGTATGACCACACCCCCATTGGGGTGTGCTTTCTGGTATGTGCACACACCCCTTGGCAATAAAAAGAAACAGAGAAAATAACATGATTTGGTCTGTTTGCTTCTGAAGAAGTATTTCAACCGTTCCATGTACACTTTTTTGTGTGTGTGCTTTAGAGATTTTTGCTATAGGACGTGTGTGCTTGCTGGAGAGACAGATGGAGAAAGAAAGCTGGAAATCACCCCCCTCCCCCACCACCACCACCAGAGGATGGCCCTGGCACAATTCCTTCTACTTCATTCTCTCAAGATTTTGGACATGCGGGAACCAGCAGTTAGCGTAATGGCTATGTCGCTGGACTCCCACGTAGTCGACCGCGGTTCGTGTCCCGGACCCGGTGGCTTGGAACTCACGCCGGGCGCGTGTGCGTGTGTGCCCAAGATCCCGAGAGGAGAATGGAGGAGAAGGGATTGCGGCGTGACCATCCCCCCTGGGGGGTGATTTCTCGCTTTCTGTCTCTATGTCTCTCTCTGTCTGTCTGGCGAGCGCACGCGCCCTACAGTGAAAAATCTCTCTCAAAAAAAAAAAAAAAAAAGATTTTGTTCATGCATGCACACACACCGTGCATGAGTTTCAAGCCACCAGGTCTGGACTCAAACTGCAATCTTCCATGTGGGAGCACCTTAACCACTATACTACCTGCTGGGCCTGCATGTGCAGTTGTGTTTTTTTCTTTTTCTTTTTTTTTTTTTCACATGTACAGTTTTTATCTACCCTTCACTCGGTCTCCTGATCCCCTGATAGGGGACTTTGGTAAGCATGCTCCAAACAGCTCATCCCCCTTAGAAATTCTCATGGCACATACTGCAAGGGTCCCTGCTCTTGTGTCCTCCTCCCATCTAATCAGGACTAAGTGGGGAACGGGCCCATCTACGGGCCACAGGAGTAACCATTGTCTGTCTTCATCATGTGTCATCACGTCATCACACTCTCAGAAGCCTGAGGTAGCAGGTTGTTCTTCTTTCCCTCTGATTAGATGTTTTTAATTGCCAGAGGGTGTGTGCACTCACCAGAGACAGAGAAACAGAGGAGGGCAGGGAGACAGAAAACACTCTCCAATGGGGCATGATCACACTTCAATCCCTTCTCCATTTCCCCATCTTGGAATTTGGGACACACAGACACATGCACTAGACATGTTTTTCAAGTCACTGGGGCCAGGATTCAAACCATGTGGTATCCATCCCCCTTAACTATGAGGTCATGGGGCTCCCGTCTAATTGGATTTTATTATTCTCTCCCCCTCTCTCTCTGTCTCCATAAAGAAAACTATGATAGGCCAGCTGGTGGCAGTGGTTAAGGCATCTGGATTCCACATGGCTGACTTTGTGGTTAGAGTCCCAGACCTGGTATCTTGAAAAACATACCACATGTGTGTGCGTGCATGTCCAAAATCCTGGAGAGGAGAATGGAGGGAAAGGAACTGTGGTGTGGCCATCCTTTATGCAGGGTGAGTTCTCATTTTCTTCTCTTCCTCTTTCTCTCTCTCACTCTGGTGAGCACATATGACCTATAGGAAAAAATTAAAAAAAAAAAAAAGGAAAGAAAGAAAGAAGAAAACTAAGAAAGGGGGAATTATACTGAACAGGTAGAGAGCTTGGAATTTCTGGACAGTCAACCTGGCTAATTATGTTCACTTACTTCTATCTCCAGATTCAGTTAACCAGGGGAAAAAAAAATCCTGCAGATGAAGTTCTCCTCCATCTGGTATTTTCTAGTCAAGCTTGAACTCATGTACATGTTCTCTTTTTCCTTTTAAATTGGGCGAAGGGGAGAATGAGGGATGTGAGCAAGAGAGGTGAGTCTGTCATCCCCTGGATCTGGCTGAACTTTAACCCTCTCTACTAACTAAACAGCCCTGGGCTCCACAGTTTGCTTAACCCTGGGGACTGGTCATCAGCCTTTGACCTCAGTCCTCCCCTTCTGACCAGCTCCCCCCACATCCTGGCCTCTGGAACCTCAGTCAGATTTAGAGGAAAGAACCAGTTTTCAGAGGGATTGCCTCAGACACACTATCTCCACTTGTCCAGCCCAGCGGAAGATTAGTGACCATGTACTCCCAGGGAGCAGGAACCGAAGCTTCTGGAATAAGGTAAGAGGGTGAGCTCTCCCTCTGCATGCCCTCACTGGGTTTTTTGACCTCTAAAGGCCTCACGAGGATGACCTCGGACAACTTGGAGAAGACTAGGCCCTCTACCTGATAGTTACAGGCAAGGCCTGTTATGAGGACATCATTTTGAGTGAGTGCCCTCTCACCCGCTCTTGGGCTAAGGCCCTTCCCTAAGCCACTCCTTAGGTTCTTAGCCCAAAGGAACAGGCTGTCTCCTGCTGTGTAGAGAAGCTTCGCAGAGCACAGCGCTCACACAGTCCTGGCAACCCCAGCCCTCACCACCCATCCGAAAAGAGGGCACATTTAATTCATGATGCACTCCTTGCTCCCTTTCTGCTCCTCCTTCCACTTGGCCACCCATTCCCCCTACCCGAAGATCTCAGTGACCTTTGACTGAAGGACCGAACCTTGCTCCCTTCTCTCCTGAGGCACCACACGTATTCCCTCCGGACCTGGGTTGTCATAGGGGGCTAGAAGTGAGGCAGTGACTTGGCCACTTTGGTTAGTCTTTGTGCTTAACAGGGGCCCAGGCTCCCCAGCTTTCACTTGTATTTCCAGATGTAGCTGAAGCCCAAAAAAGGGAAATCAAGGGCAGGGCCCTGCTGGGCAGCCCAACCCTGCCAACCCTGCCTTACTCAGCTCCCTCAGCAACTCCACTTCCTCCCCACTCTGTGTCTCTGCGTTCCATGGGACAGCAGTGCTGGCCGCAGGCCAGGCAAGAAGACAAGTGCCCTGGGTGGCCCACGGACCGCCTTTGTGGACCTCTGCACTGCGTGTCCATCTTTCTCTGCCAGGAGAAGACAGAGAAGACCTGGTGCTCTTCTATATTCTCAGGGACTCCAGACTAACTGTGAGATGCCCCTCACCTGCTTTTTTTTTTTTTTTTTTTTCTTTTTCTTTTTTATTTTTTTAAGAGAGGCTTTTGCTATAGGGTGCATGCGCTTGCCAGAGAGACAGAGAGACAGAAAGTGAGAAATGTGGAGAGTCCAGCGACACAACCATTACGCCATCTGCTGGTCTCAACCTCATCTTTTCTACAAAAACATGACTACCATTTGGTTTGCTTCATCAGATGTCCTAGTCCTCCTAAATTGCCAATCTCATATTTCATTTTTTAAAAAGCGAGACTAGCTTTATTCACCTTTACTGAATCTAGTACAGCAGAACAAATCTGACCGGGAGTCTGAGCAGATGAGGAGGGTGGGAGGAAGGAATCAAAGGTGACTCTCAGGTTTCTGGACTGGATGCCAGGCTGCAAGAGGGTCCCATTCACTTAGCTGGAGGCCCGAAAGGAAAAGCTGTGGGGGGAGAAATATGAGTTCTATATGGACATCTGTACAGGATGGTCAGGCATGACGATCCAGCACATAATTGGTCTGGAGCTCTGAGAAGGGTCAGGGTTAGACCTAGAGGTTTGGGAGTCTTTGGCACATGGACATTGCCTCCTTTCCACATGTTCCTTCTCATGCCTCTGTATTGCTGACGCCTCTGCTGCGTCAGTCAGAATCCTCCTCACCCTTTGACATCCAGGTTAAATTCCATCCATGTTTCAGGCCTTCCCTAACAGCATCTGTAAGTGGCTCCTCCTACTTCCTGCACTCCACTGGGCACTAGAGGTCCCTACCTGGTTTTGCATTTGCATGTTCCATCTTACCAACTGGAGGCTTGGCATTCTTTGTTTAATCCCACATGGGCCTAGAGCATATGAACTTTTTTTTTAAAGAATTATTTATTTTATTTTATTTATTCATTCATTTTATTTATTTATTTATTTTAATTTGATCAGAAAGACACAGAGAGAGAGAGTGAAAGAGGGAAAGTGAGAAAGTAAGCCACCAGGTCTGAAACTCAAACCGTGGTTGGCCATGTGGGAATCCAGCGCCCTTATCCACGACGCCACTTGCCGGCCCTAGAGCATATGAACTTCTAAGAAGCCAGTTAATTCTAGCCCCAACACATTAATGTCTAGGCAAGTGGGAATTTCCACAGGCAAGCCATCCAGGGTGGACTCGTCCTAGGCCCCTGCACTTGGTCCATAGGCTTTGGCCCCTTTCCTGGCCACATCAGGTGGGCTGGGACACTGTGCTTTACTGGAGCAAGTCTGTGGTGGGCAGTGGGGTGGGGGCTCTCCTAGCCTAGCTTAACTCAGATTTTTGTTTTCCTGTAGGAGGGTATGTTTTCTCTCCTTGCTGCTTGCTGGCCTCTGGGGCTGTGTGATCTGTCATTGGAGCCCTGTGGAGGACATCTGCACAGCCAAGCCCCGGGACATTCCTGTGAATCCCATGTGCATTTACCGCTCCCCAGAGAAGAAGACAACTGAGGAAGAGGGCTCAGAGCAGAAGATCCCTGAGGCCACCAACCGGCGAGTCTGGGAACTGTCCAAGGCCAATACCCGCTTTGCCACTACCTTCTATCAGCATCTGGCAGACTCCAAGAATGACAATGATAATATTTTCCTGTCACCCTTGAGTATCTCCACAGCTTTCGCCATGACCAAGCTGGGTGCCTGTAATGACACCCTTAAGCAGTTGATGGAGGTACAGCTCAAAGCTCTTTGCCCAGCCACCTGGCGGGGAGCATGTGTTGGACTTCTATAGAGCCAGGGGCTCCCAAACCAACAGACAGGTCATAGGGAGCTCACAGTGGGTTACGGTTCCCTTTGAATCGCTACTTCAAGTGTTATGATTCCCTATGAAAACCTTTTTATTTATTTATTTTTAATTAGACAAGGCATTACCACCTGAAGGTCTGCTTTATAAATCTGAGTTTTCTCTATAGGTCCCCTTAAAATGGGGAAAAGCCAATGTCTCTTCCAACTTCCATTAGTCACTTTAGCTGATATGTTTATTCATTTATTTGATCATGTGTGTGTGTACTTTATTCAACACCTCCTCTGTGCCAGGCCATGTGCTGGGAGGTAGAGATTTCCCATTCCCACAGGGATAGGGGAGAACTTCATCTGGCGGGCTCAGGACTACAGGCTCTTGTGGATAAAGTCTAAGTATATTGAGACCTGGTGTCCAGGGTTTGGTGTCCTGAAGCCAAGAGAAGTTTCAGGATATGAGATTGTTTTGTGGGTCTGGGCAGTGTTAATCATTTCAAGTCAGTCGCTTTTTTGCTTTTTTTGTGGTAGGGAAGTAGGAGTAGGTTAAGAAAAAACGCCATGGGTTAAGTAACCACTAATTTCACTATAATCAGTCATGGATTGAAACAACAGATTCTCAATGTGTCCTTGGCTTCATGTCTAGCTTTCTTCCGGTTGGATCATGCTTCAGAAGCAAAGAGAGTAAATGAGGGGGAGGGGGAGTAGAAAGCCCTGCAACATGGCACACAGTGTTATTAGAATTTCAGATAGTGTAGTCTATGGATCTTAAGAGAGTTTATTTCTTTATTTCTACTCTAGTGGCCAATTTCCACTGAAATTCACCACTTTCATCTGGCCCTCTGGGCTTTCATTCCACAAAAGAAACTCTAGCTTTGGAAATGCTTAAGACACATTATGCTGCCTTTCTTCAGTAATCTCAGGTTTGATACTTACATTGATAATGGTTTTAAAGCACTTCCATATCCCCCATATCTGTGTCCCCAAGTGACATCTTAAATGTGACCTTACCTGTAAGACAAACAAAAATGGAACACTGTTTCCAAACCAAGTATGTCCTTTGGTCCTTACTCTCTACAAATTCTTCCAATACAAAATGGCAAGTATTGGAAAAGTTAGGTGGGATTATATCGGTCTAAAGAAAAGAGAAACTCAGCCCTAAGCTGTAGGTCAAAGCATGATCAAAAAAAAAAAAAAAAAAAAAAAGAAAAAGGTGCAGAAAGGAACAAGATCAGGAAAACCAATGGCAGAGAACAGTTAAGACCAAAAGGTCTAAAAACAAACAAACAAAAAACACCTCTAAAAGGCCTTTTGTCACCTGAGGACAGAGCATAGAAAGGGAGAGAAACGGCCTCACCTACTTTGCCTCAGTGATATTAAAGGTGATGTTGAAGGGGATTCCAGCTTCTATGGCTATGATGGGCACAGATGGCCTCACAGCGCTGAGACTGATTCTGGACTTGTTTAATCCCATAATGGTGGGATAACTCTTTGCCTTTCTCATCCCAGTACCACATACCCTCCAACAGCAGCTGGCCCCGGCAGATGCCATGGAAATGTTTTTAATGAAAAGGAACAATGTCCTGCTTCCCTTCTCTGTCCAGAATCACCAAGAGTACTTTTCCCATTCTAGCAAGAAAACATCTCTGTGTTGGTCTAAGGCCTTTAGAGACTTTACGTGGCATTCTAGTCTCTCTTGGTTTCTTTTTTACTTTATCCTTTCTACCCTATGTTCTTTTTTTGCTCATTTATCCATTTAGACAACCTGGTGGAACATTTATGCTGCAGTGCTGCACCAGGCTGTGTACTTGAAGGCATTGACCACTGCCATGGCTACTAGTCATGTTAGCTGGGCTGTGCCACCAACCCCATCACCATTTTCTTCTGGTTTATATAGGTTTTTAAGTTTGATACCATTTCCGAGAAAACATCTGATCAGATCCACTTCTTCTTTGCCAAACTAAACTGCCGACTCTATCGAAAAGCCAACAAGTCTTCCACATTGGTATCAGCCAACCGCCTCTTTGGAGACAAGTCCCTTAACTTCAATGAGACCTACCAGGACATCAGTGAGGCAGTGTATGGAGCCAAGCTCCAGCCCCTGGACTTCAAGGTAAGTTGCGGATGTCATCCTTAACCTCAGAGATCATACTCTCCATTCAGAGGTTGAGGAGGTAGAGAAACGTGCTAGCGCTGCTGTGCTAGCTGAAGACCAGTCAGGCCCAGGTCTAAGTCCGGACCCCTGGGTTATTCATTCCTACTTGAAACCTCAGAAACTAGGGGTATCTATGGCTTAGATTGTAGTGGTTACTCTGCATAAATTGGATAATCAATTATTGGGCTGTCTATGGTGCTGTGGTAACAACCTGGTCAAGATAAGTTGGAACCCACATAGTGACTTTGATTTAAATCCTTACCCTGGTCAACCTGGAACACTGGGCATATACATTACTGCCCAAGATCTGACAGGCTAGAGAAGTGGAGGAAAGGGATTGAAGTGTGACTAGACCTGTGGAGGGTGCTTCTCTCTCTCTCTCTCTCGTGTGCACACAGTGTGCCATGAATTTGAAAAAATACCAAAAAAAAAAGTTATATTTAAAAATCTCAGTTCTTGGGGTCAGCAGGTGGTGTGGTGGTTAAAGGTGCTGGACTCCCCACATGGCTGACTGCTGTTCAAATCCCAGACCTGGAGACTTGCTTTCTCACTTTCTCTCTCTGTCCCTCTATGGACAAATTAAAATAAATAAATAAATAAATAAATAAATAAATAAATAAAGTAAGTTAAAAAATAAGTCTTTAAAAAAGAAATCTCAATTCTTGGGGCTGACAGGTGGCATGGTTGTTAAGGGCACTGGACTCCCATGTGGTTGACTGCGATTTGGGTCCTGGACCTGGCAGCTTGCCTTCTCACTTTCTCTCTCTCTGTCCCTCTCTGGTCAAATTTAAATATATAAATAAATCAAATTAAATAAAATAATTATTTTTTTTAAAATCTCAATTCTTGGGGTTGGCAGGTGGCATGGTGGTCAAGGGCACTGGATTCCCACATGACCAACCATGGTTCAAGTCCCAGACCTGGATGCTTGCTTTCTTACTTTCTCTCTCTCGTCCTCTGCATTGGTCTGGTAAAATAAATAATAATAATAATAATAATTGAACTTAAATAATTCTTTTTTTTTCTTTTTTTTAAGAGGTTTTTGCTATAGGATGCGTGCTCTCCCCAGAAAGACAA